CCCTCTCTACCTGCTATCAGCAGCATCTGCAACTACATCTCATTCCTAACGAAGGAATGAAACTCACATTGAATAACAAGTTGTAATTTACAACCAGGAGACCCAGGCATACAACTGAAAAACTTAAAGCATAGGGTCAGCAGAACCACTAACTGCTCATGTAAGTGTTCACATCTGCTAAACGTGGAAGTAGATCTATATATCCCTGCTGAGAATTAAGTCCATTATGTGACTTCACACATCTAGAGATAAACAACATTCTCTTTAGCTATGTAATATCAGGTAACACTGTTCAAAGACTGAGAACATAACTATTTTTTTTTAAACAGCCTAAAATCCAGAGGATGGAAGAGAGTCACATGATAGTAAATTATTGAAAAGCCACAGAATAAATACTTTGAATACATTCTGCCTACCTTATAAACAAATGGATTCCTTCGTGAATCAGTCAGGATATCAAATCTTGTGTAAAGATCATTTAAAAGATTAACAATCTTCATGGCTCCCTCTCCAGAGGCATGTTTACTACAGAAGGCATTGAATCCAACAATGCCACTGAAAAGAATGGTCACATTGTCATATCGCTTAGCTGGAACAGGACGCTTGTGTCTCAGCTCATTTGCCACTGATGGTGGTAGAACAGAGTACAGTAATCTAAACACGTAAGAAAAGGAAAGCACAAGCAAAACAGAAAGAATGTGGAGAAAGGTCTTTACATCAGCACTCTTCAAATATTAACTTAGTACCTCCCATAGGGGTTATAACATACTCGCATCATCAAAGAGCAATATAGAAGATGTTTACTGAAGAATATGTTATTTGGGAAGCAGGAACTGATGTACATCTGCATGCCTAAAACCATGACATTCCAAACACACATTAATAGATCTAAATTACCAACAAAATGAGGCATGTATAACTAATTCTTCTGACATGATCTTTTAAGAGTGTCTTGAATCATTTTTGCTTATTGCTGAAGCATTTCTGCCATATGGTCAGCTCATATAATCTGGTTTTGCTCACAGACCCATAAAAACTGCAAAGAAAAGCTATGAAGAGATTGAACAGTTTTCCACCTTTGATCAATTCACACACTGCTACTTTCAAGGCTTATGTTTTTCTGTGAGCATGGCAGTCCAGAAAGACAAAGTGGTGTACAGCTGGTTTATAGAACTCCGTCAAACAGTAGCATTGAAGCATTCATCAGATTTACCTTGGCCACAGCAACTGCATGTAGAAAGTTTGCAAAACTACTGTTTTAGGTAATTCAGAAAGCAAAAAGGATTGTCAGTTCACTAATTTTCCTTATCAAGGAGGGAGCCATCAAAACACCTGTGCATATAACAACCTAGACTGCACATGACATTTGACAATCTAAATAAAGAAATACCCTATGAGGCGTTAAAGTAAAATGTTCTTTCTTGACTCCAAAATTATCAGCCTTGAATATCTCTTCTATTCCTTCCAAGATTTTGGGTTTTTTTTTGAAGAAGGTAGCTATAAATAATATATTGCTATGACTGTTTCAGCTCAAAATCAGGACTGGTTCTTACGTGTCTGTCTTTTTCTTTTCATCTTCCAGTGCACGCAGTGTGTGCTGCAGTCTGTCAGTGAGGATCTCAAGCTCTTGAGTCAGTTTATATTCCTCTCTGAACTGCTCTCCCAGAAGCACCAGATCGCGTGTAGCATCATGCAATGGAATATCACTCAGATACAAACCTCTCCTGGTTAAATCATCCAAGTTCATCACACTGCAATGTGGAGAAATATATAATAATATGGGTACAATTAAACTTGCCAAATAAGCACTTAAAACTCAAATGATCATCAGAGGCTGCTGAATAACAGAAGAAAGATTATGCTTCTGAGCTTGTGATGAGCTGTACAGCATATCCCTTCTACAAAATACATCATTTGTGCTCATTCACATTAACACATGGCTTTTGATTTTGGCATTTAAATACAGAATTCTCATTGATGAGTTCCACGGGCATACCAAATGCACATATTTCAGTGTACATATAAAAGCAAAATTATGTTAAGGAAGCCTCTTCCCTTTCTGTCTTCGTCCACTCTCTCCCCTTTACACAGGAGATTCATGTACCATAACTGTGTAACCCGATGTTAGCTCAACACATTCTTAGCTAAAGAAGCTCTCCATCCAATCCACCATCCCAACCACTTATTTATAATCATCACTGCTCTATTACATTCTGACTACTGCAAAAATAAATGAATACACATAGGAAACCAGATCATTGTGACATTTAAACCAGTCGAGTTCTGATGTTTAAATGCTCCTTTCCCCTTTTAGTACAAACACATCAAAATCAATGAAATCAATACTTGGATCGATTAATCTCTGAAGTACTACTCTCATAAGTGTTCTTAAAATTAGTAATAGTAAAATGAAAATCAATGTTCTAGATATCCAAAGGTTTAAAGTACCTTGGCGAACAAAGAAAAAGAATGCTGTCTGCTTCAGGCAAGTAGATCATTTGCCCTTTCAGGCGTAGGCAGCTGATTTCTGTGCCAGTCAGTTCATCCTCACACTCCAGCTTTTCCACATCCAACAGCCCCTCCTGGCGATGAGAAGTCACAATTATATAAGGGCAATGGTACATGTGTTATGCACCAGGCCACACACTTAAGTGCCTTCGCTATGAAGGCAGTCAGAATGTCTGGAACAGTTACAGCCTACATTAAAACCCAATTAATTTCTTATTTTAACACCATACACTACCCGTATTTTAATACTGTGATTTGCTACCTCAAAGACATAAACCATGGTATCTTTCTTCAACGTTCAGGTTCTTAACTGCTTGTTTTCCTCTGCATCATATCTCAACAATAGTTATGCCTATTCTATGAAGTTCTATCTGTTCCTTGGAGCATCTCTAAGAAATCTTGTTGGTTTCAGGTATGGTTTTCTATAAATAAACAGCCCCCTGATATAGTAGGTGCTACCCTACATGCTGCATTCGTTTGTATCACTTGCCTCCTCTGCTGCCCTCTGTAGAGAAAAGGACACAGAACTGTCTATGAAGGTATGGGCCCAATCGAGGACACATTCATAATTCTTCCCATATTGTTATGAAGGAAAAGTAAATGATATTGTCTTTCTACATTTACATTGGTACAATGCCATATAATGGGTTGGCCCCTTGCAAAGAATGCATCAGACATGAACTGTATGCACTTCACCATTCCTCTAAAGCATTCTACTTAACAGCTACATGACTTCACACCTGTGATTTTTCCTTGGATTAAGACTCAAAAGGGACCGAGCGTACTACTGTGCAAAGAATTTTCTCTGAAGACTTCTGAGCTTTCTGCACTTCTAATCTCTCCAAAGCACACCTACTTAAAGAAAAGGCAAGTGAACATTCTCTAGTTACCTTGGTCCTCAGTACAAAGACTGTATTGATATGTGAGAGGATCCCATGGAAACTAATATCAATATGAGGCCGGACCAAGGAGAAAACTGACAAAAGACTGCAGTTTCCTGGCTGCAGCTAGAATTAGACAAAAAAGAAAAATAATAAAAGCTTGTTATGTTTTATAATCAAAATATACATGTAGTAATTATATTCAATTTACTTCAATGACAATACCGAATGGAAGAGTATATACACTTTATGCATTTCTCCATTAAAACACAAGGTTTTTAAATCAGGGATTTTACATCAGAAGTAGACTGACTTCAAAGCACGGTTCTGGTCTCCAAGATGACTTGTATTAGACTATCACATTCATTAGCTGTCAAACTGTTCCCATACTCTGGTAAAAAAAGCTTTCCAGTGTTTTCTTCCTAAGTGACCTCCTCCAGTAAACCTCCCTTTTCAATGAGCCATGATTTCTAAAGCATCAGCTCTGACAAGAAAGAGTCTGATAGCCATCCTCAGAAGACTGAATAGTTACAGCTGTTCAATGAATGCCCTTGGGAAAAATCTGGCAGAGCTACTTACAAAGTTCTTCTTTCAAATCTCTGCAAAATTCAGAGAGAAATCACCAAAAACAAATTGCAGGAAAAAGCTAATAACAGAAAATTGCATTTTAAAAGTACGTCAATGATTCAGAAACTACAAGGTATGTGCAACATTAGCCAACATCATTATAAAGATCATTTGAAGTTTTCATCGTCTCACCTTTTGCTTTTCTCATATTACTGCTTTTACCTGTTGTTTATTTTTAGAAACAGTGTCAGCTCTTTCAGGCAAGAACTGAGGTATCCTATTCATATACAAAATACATAACATTAAATGGACCTTTGAGTACTCTTTTACTGTAAATAACTAGAGGAAATTGCAGCAGCTGAATTCAGTTCAGAACACACACTTATATACATAATTACAAACATCGTTTGGCTTCTCTTAGTCAATACTGACACTTGTGATGAACAAGCCAAGAAAGCATGCTACAATTTCTGTTATTCTGCTCTTCAGTTATTGTGCATCTGATAGCTTAAATATTTGAAGGCATTACTGTCAAGTAATATATATAGGCTATGTACCTGATGCTACTCTATACAGTAGTATGGGCAAGACCATTTCCTGAACTCCAGGCCATGTTGCACTGTCTCATATCCACTTTAAAGAGTTATCTGCCACTTTCATAGCAAACATATCTTGGGGTGAGCTATGAGAAAGAATCCAGTATCAAGCTAACACTTGAATTGTGGAGGGGATCAGATTTTCTCTGCTCAAGCTCATTATCTTACTGCACATCGACATGATCATCAGGAACATTCTACGTAATTGTAGAATTAGGGCTATTTTCAGAGTCCTTTTTTGCCAAGAGAAGCACAATGTAGTAAATATTATACACTTCCATGGGAATGCTGTTTAGACAGAGAATACATTTTATTAATCTTCAAATTAAACCTGTGAAGAATCTAACATTAGGAATCTCTACTACTATTAATGAATGAGAATTAACTAACCTGTGGAAGGACTCTGTATATAGCATTGCCACACTGCGTGACCACCAAATCTCTGTCAAATATTATGTGGAAAGGAAAGGCTTTGCAGAAAGTATAGGGACTGATGCGAGACTCTTGGGTACCATTTTCTTCAAATCTGTCAAGGTCTTCATAGTAGTCCTCTTCTTTAGACTCTTTCTCTTCAATTAAAAATTGAATGTGGTCACATTCCTCATTTCTTTGTTGAATAACCTATGAAAAATGGAATTAAAAATGAAAAACTGAAAACTCTTGCTTCTCCATAACAGGAATCCTACCATGAAGACTGGAATACATTTAGAGTAGAAAGATGAATTCAAGAATGATATTGACATCTTCAAAAGTGCTGTATTCTAGGAAGTATTTCTGATTTTAAAGAGTTTTTACAATTCCAGGGGAATAATTATTCCTTTGCTTAGCCACAGTTGGTCTTTGCATGAACATCTTATTGAAGATAACCCAAATACAATTTATAAAGCCTGAGTGAAATGCACATTCTGAATTCAGGGGCGAAGGCTCAGATTATACTTGCTTTTACCCGTACTTGCCAGAAAACAGGACTCCCCTCCCCTGGAATGAACCTGTGGCAAGTCTTGAATTACAAAGCCCACGTGAATCCTTCTTTTGGTGAAAGCTGTCTGCCAGGTCTGTAACACAACAGCAAACAGTGCTGACCAGAGAATGGGCGTGTCACAGTCAGACAGACAAAAGGTGGATGGAGCAGATGTTTGAACATACACTTTTTACACATTCAAGCAGATCTCAAGATCAGGACCAACAGATGAAAGTAAACGCACTGACAATCTTCTATGAGCTGCATTCCATATTATATGAAGCCTCAGCAAAACCAGTCATCTACATCAATGGAGTCTCAAATAAGTGTCTTGAATATAGCATTTCACACTTCAATAATTTTACTCCAAGTTAGTAAAAAATATGAATATAATAGAGATTATTTTGTTTGCAGTGAGAGTCATGTATTGAAGCATAATTAAGGCTAATAACTAATAGAATAACATAATTTACCTTGAGAGGCCAAATTCAACTCTTCTCAAGCTTAATTAGATTTAATGACTGGAACAGAACAATTCTATTTACACAGTATTGTTTAGCGACAACTTTCTGGAACATGTTGCACCTGATTCTACTTTCATGTAATGTCTGATTTCTAAAGCCACCGAAGCAAAGAAAGGCTTCTTAAAATCTCTAACGCATCCTGATTCTGCCTGTACACAGTCTAACCACAGAGATGAACAGTTACGGTATGAAAAAAGAACGAATATGCACAAAGATTGCACTTCATCATCTCTAAGATGTTCAGTTTATTTAACATTTCTCCTCCATCACTGTCAGCCATGCTAGCTAATGGCATTGGGGAATCCTGACACTTTTATTTGCTCTTATACAAATGGAGGAGTGTAAAACAACAAAAAAAAATTTATTGCTAAATGATGCTTAATTTAAGAAGACCGTGTTCCTTGATCTCCTATTTGACCATTTAAAGGAAAGAGAGGCTTTTCTGGAGAACAGTTCAGATCAGGAGCCTGATTTAGGTGCTCTGTAGCATATGCTGCATTAGTCTTCTCTTTCTATGGTGTACATAAAAAATTCAGAGAACAAGTTCAGCCTTTCTATCACTCATGCACACTCCCATGAGACTTATTTTACTACTATTATTATTATGGTGGCTGAGATTATACACAGTAACCTTTTTCAAATGGTGTAGAATTATCACTAGAATTGATCTATGCTTCCAGATAGTTTCCAGTCTTGGATCTTGCTCCAAAGAGTTGCTCTTGCCACAACTGGAAAAAGGCATACTTTGGATTAAAATATTCTTAATTTGGCAAAGCAGTCCTAAAACACATTTTTAAAGATGTAATAATTTTTAAGGAAATGTTCATATGCACATCAACTTCCAAAGATATTAACATTATCACCTAATGACCATCTTAGATACTGCATACTAGTATTCTGTTATCAACCTGCACCTGTACTTCCAGGTATTTTCCTGCTACCATGCAGCATCTAATGGGCTTTTCATAAATTCTCTCATTTTTTGGTATTTATTAGAATTGAATGATGCATCAGTAATCAAAACTCAAGAGTTGGTTAAAAAACAACCACCTACAAAAATAGAACTGCTACATGCTTCAAGACGTCTAGCTAAGTTTGAGACATGACCCTCTGTGGATCCAAACAAGCTCACACAGTGATGAAGCCAGTTGTCGCACACAATGTGCTATATTCCTAACCTTTATAAATCAGAACTGTGTCAGTAACTGTGCAAAGCTGCAAATTTCCCAGGCATCTTCAAGTTCATTTGCAAGACTATTTCTGACGAGACTCCAGGGCATCTAGCAATGCTTGCTGTACTAGTGCATCACATTAGTGCAGCAAATGAACAACAGGACAAACACATAGAAATGTGTCAGATGTACAAGACAGCCACAGTGGCAGCTGCACACTCCTGGCAAAACTGATATGCTGTGGACATGGGTGGTCTACAGAATTGGATTCTGGTCATCAAGGCACAGAGCCAGATTAACAGACACTACAGTCATACCCCTCTCCAGGCTAAGAAAGCTACTGATTCATCTTTAAATAACTTCCCATTGGATATGTAATTATATGATGTCTTTTCTGCTCACATCATTTATGCACTAGCTAATATTCCTATCTCATGATTTCATTCACCTTGTCAGCAAATTTAAAATAAGCACTTCTGGCCATTAACATAATATGTTAAATTCTGTCCCTTCACCCTTGCACCTACAGATCCAACCTAATTGACCAGATACTTACCTGACATGAAGATCTGCCGTAGACACTCTGCAGAAAGCTTAACCAGAATAGAACTTACCTATCATTTCATTCTGCAAGCAAAGTTTGCAAGCCACAAAATTTCATATAATTTAAATGTTGTCGCAGAAGCCTCTGTTAAATGCTTGACAAATGAAAGTTCAGTGACAGAAGCAACGAAGCCAGGAATCAAGCCTAAATTCTTCCTCCCCCTTCAATCTTAGCTGGTGAAGTGACATCAGTTCACCACCTTAAAAGCTCAGTCACCATAGTAACCGCAGTTAAAAACTGAAGGGAAAAAATCACTCTCCTGGTTTCAAAGAAAATATGTAACATCTAACTGCTAACCTGCATGTGCTTTGCACAAGATGTATCTTCAGTTTGTCCTTGCCAAGTGAAAAGTCACACCAATATTTCGGAAAGGGCAACTGAAAGAACAGTTTTCTTTAAATTATTTTATTTAATATATTCAGTGAGCTTCACACAAGACACTAAATCGAGAAGGGTCACTGTGATACCACATGTGTAACAAACACGTACTATGTGCTAAACTTTCACTGATGTACCTACAGGACAAGAGTCAATTCTAGAGATAACGAGCATGTCTCCAAGACACACTCCTATTGCAGCATGGAGGAGGGACAAAATGTCCCTGAACAAGGATCTTTTTCCATCAGATTGTGAAGATTAATATAGAGTCAGGGGTTTGACATTTGAAGGTCAATACATGATGAAATTCTTGATGTCTCCTGATCAAAACCAACTGTGCAATGCTATTTGATAAATTTCACTTCAGCTGTTTCAAGGTGATGCTGAGACAAAGCAGGTCGTTGTTGAAATGGTACCACTCTTGGCACACCCAAGTTAAAACTGGGGGCATGTCTCCACCTGGCAGCTGGTTTCAAGGCAGCCTGACTCACTGCACCAAACCCCCTACCCTGAAGCTCATGAAGTTTCTGGCTGCCCTTGCGTTAGAGGCTGATCAGGCCCCACAACTGACTTATTTTCATACACAGCTAGCATTTTAATGTGTGGGTCAGTACTGCCTGTCCTCCATGACAAGTACTTAAGGAGTTTTTAGGTCAGCTCTCCAGCTGGTCACACTCTGGCTTTGTTTTTTTGTACTGCTATTAGTAATAAGACAGTCAGAAATTACCATCTTGTCAAGGATTTACCCTGGTCTTTTCTTATTTTATATTGTAAACCATCTTCCCCCTGTGAAAGAAAGATTTTGATAATCTGCTCTCAGATAATAACAGAATGGCAGAAGTCTCTTTTCCCAACAAATTTTTGGGCTTTGTAGGCTTGTACAACATTCTTCAGTGACCCGTACCATTTGCAGCCTTGAGGGAATCCCTGTCCCAATTTAACCTTGAAAGGTCACCCTCACTGATACACAACCTCCGACAAGCGAAGCAAGAGAAGGCATAGCCACGAGGCTGCTAACAGAGATCTCATGACAAAGCTGGCACCAGCACCATGAAGATTTTAAGTTCTCATACTGAGACTGGCAGAAATTAAATATTCTTGGCGTGTACTCAAAGTCAGAAACAATTCTTCAGACAATACCTGCCACAAAAAATATACTCTTAGCTCTATGTAGCTAAAAATGGATTAGCGTATCAGGGAAGATAAGGCAAACTGGATTTTAATTAATTCAAGTTCAGAAGTTCAAAACAAATTGCCTTCCTTATATATGTATATATGTATACATAGAATCACAGCATGGTTTGGGTTGGAAGGGACCTTAAAGACCATCTAGTTCCAACCCACTGCCATGGGCAGGGACACCTTCCACTAGACCAGGTTGCTCAAAGCCTCATTCAGCCTGGCCTTGAACACTTCCAGCGATGGGGCATCCACAGCTGCCCTGTGCAACCTGTGCCAGTGCTTCACCACCCTCACCAAACCAGTGAAGATTTCTTTCCTGATATCTCAAATAGTTCTATGTGAAACTGCAGAAAAGTGATAAAATTAAACCTTTTTTTTTTTTTTTTCTACTTAGCCAGTTCTCCACCCAAAGAAACAATTTGGGACAAAACAAAACCAGTATGTTTTTCTCGATATTTATTTTTCCTTGTGATTATGAGATTCCTTAGGTTTTTTCTGCAGGTTGAAGGACGTGATCCTTCCCCTCTACTCAGCACTGGAGAGGCCACACCTGGAGTGCTGTGTCAAGTGGGGTCCTCAGTACAAGAGAGTACATGGAGCTAGTGGAGAGAGTCCAGCGAAGGGCCACTAAGATGATTAAGGCACTGGAGCATCACTCACAAGAGGAAAGGTTGAGATAGCTGGCACTGTTCAGCCTGGAGAAGAGAAGGTTCAGGAGGATCTCATCCATGTGTACCAATACCTGAAGGGAAGGTGCACAGAGGATGGAGCTGGGCTCTTTTCAGTGGCCCCAGTGCTAAAGACAAGGGGTGATGAAACTGTAACACAAGGGGTTCTGTCTGAACATCAAGAAACACTTTTCTAAGGTGAAGGGGACTGAGTGCTGGCACCCATTGTCCAAAAAGTTTGCAAAGTCTCCATCCCCAGAAACAGTCGAAAGCTGTCTGAACATGGTCTGGAGCAACTGGCTCTAGATGGTCCAGCTTGAGCAGGGGAGGCTGGATAGAACGACCTCCAAAGGTCCTGTCCAACCTCAGCCATTCTGTGATTCTGTGTAACCCATGAAAAAAAATCTAACAACTTAATGAAATAAACCCAGTGTTATTGCAAACAATTAAGATCTGTTACCACTTTCACAGAAACTGTTAATATGTAATAGAAATTAAAGCACAATTTCATGAGAATACAGACTTAGAAGCATGCATTCTCTTAAGCATATTTATGTAAGCATTTGTTCTAAACAGCCGGAGAAGAAAAGTGGATAATAAAGTATTAAACATCAAATTGCACATATCAACTTTACACTAATATAAAGAGAACTGTAGAACTTACTAAACCAGTCCTGTGTTGGATTGTTATGTAAATGCTTTGGATAAAGAGATCTGAAAGGACAACTCAGGAATCTCAGCTCTGTTGTTGCAAGCCAGAAGGCAATTCCCATAACAACACCAGAAACTTAGGGCTAGGCCCTGAGGCTCTTATCAGTTCCAAAAAAAGTTCTTTCTTAAGTAAAATTCTAACTGAAGTCCAAACCAAAAATTTTATTAAACAGGCATTGATTGGTCCACAAAAACTGAGGGCATGAAAAACAACTCCATTGTTTTTTCTCTGCTATGGTATTTCAAACAACTCATTACTATTAGTAAATTAATGCTTTCATGTTTCAGACTGAATTATGTGGCAAGGGATCAAAATGAAACAAGTTGGTCAATTCTTTTCTCCTGTTCTCATTTTTCTGAGCATTGTAAAACTAGCCAGGTACCACAATAGCAGATTTACTCTGCTTTAAAACCTGTACTCTGTACCATTAATGATTAATAGTTGACCTGTGGAGTAACGGAGGGAGATTTTCATTGTCTGTGAGAAGAAGCTGAAAATTTTGGCACTCTCACCTTACAGAAACAAGTAGCTGATTATTCTTTGCTTATCTACCACTAAGGTTGTTGAGTATCTGTGGAGTAAACACTATTTAATGTCATTAAAGGTGTCAAAAGCCAGGCTTTATGAACCAGAAAAGACAAGACAAAGTTCAGGGTTGAGGGCACATGACTTTCTAATACGGACAAGTCAAAAAACAGGGTAACAGACAGAACAAAATACAGACAATATGCACTTTCTTCAGTTTAGAAGTAATACTAATTTTTAGGCACCTATGTGCTTTTAGCTCTGGTGGTCTGGAAGAATAGTTAGGATTTAAATTAAACTTGTGCTCACTTACAATATGTTTGACCAATACTATTAAATTTCTGTTCAACTACAGTACAGCAATGAAGTTTCCAGAAAAGCCTAACAAAGTCAAATGAAAATGAGAAGTAAATTTATAATCAGTATTTAAACCTCTTGGGAACATATATTATTTGTGAGAAGTCCTACATGGATATTAGTACTGTCCAATACTATCTTCTCTACAAAGTAACATTCAGACTGAGGGCACAGTTTGTCAAAAGTTTGTTCTGGTAGCTTCTTTGCACAACCCAGATTTCTCCTCTGCCTCACTGATCATTTGTGTCGGCCTGACCCCTCGACTGTGCTGGCAGAACACCCCCTTATAGACAGAACACCAAGCCACAGAAAGGAACAGATGTTGGTAAAAATAACCCAGAGAAAAAAAACTGTTATTTTGAACCTAGTTAATTTCCCCAGTCTAGTTTATTTTATAGCTTGACAACAGCTCCCTCGACTGTGGTGACAGAACACCCCCTAATAGACAGAACACCAAGCCACAGAAAGGAACAGATGTTGGTAAAAATAACCCAGAGAAAAAAACTTATTTTGAACCTAGTTCATTTCCCCAGTCTAGTTTATTTTATAGCTTGACAACAGCTGGAGAGACACAGCTTGTTGTAAGACAAGCTTGAGAAATAAGAGGAGGAGGACTGCATAAGCTGCCTGTGCTACCAAAAGAAATGCTTGTCAAGCAACAGCTGCAGCACTATTTCAGCCAACTTTCCAACATGGTCCTCCTTGTCTGTCTCAACACCTTGAATAAACAGGGACATAAGAAAAGGATTGTTTTGATCATGTTGCATCCTTCCACATGTGATTACCAACACCTTCTGTAACAGTATGAACTATGGATTTCTACAAAGTAGAATATAAACAAGGTCATCAAGTATATCACTACACAGAACTAGCCATTCACTGGAAGCCTGAGCTAGCTTAGAACAAGAAATCTAAAATGCAAACACTCCAACACAGTAGTACAAATACCTTTGTCACTGGGTTGCTTGTACATTTCTTATCTGAGCAAGATTGTGTTTTTGTGATATGCTCCTGAAACTGGAATTGATTTTCTGAGCAAGTATACAATGAAACTGTGTTAGAAATGTAGTCTGACTTGGGAAGAATTTAAAAAAAAAAAAAAAAAAATGCAGCTTGCTGTACCTGCTTAGACTCTTTTCTACTTGCTGAAAAGTATTTTATATCAGTTATAATATTTCTAACACTAAACAGCTTTTATTTGCTGTTTTGCTCCAGATATATCTGCACCTTGGATCATGCTCTGATTTTAATATTATTACATATGCAAGGCCTGATCAATTAAATCTTTCTGTGCTCCATTTGGACACAAAGCAGAAGCCTCTTTCCCATTTCACAAGTGACTTAGCACACATTACATTATGTAAACTCTGTGACTGAGGAACATTTTTCCAGTTCTGGAGCTGTAAGTGTATATCCAGCCCCACTCTCACACAATAATAGTATGAGACCCACAAACAATTCTTGGTTCTGGGAAGGACCCAGCATGTGAGGTGGGAGGAAAACACCATTCGCCAGCCAGGCCTCATCAACGCACATCTCCCTCACAGTTTGCACATAGATGAAGCATCTGGCACACAGAGGCAAAATGTTCATGTTCTCACAGAACATAGTAGACAGTAAGAAATATATGCCAAATATAAAATAAAGTGGAAAAAAGCACCCCAAATAACTCAGTAACTAAATTCTGTATGTCATCTCCTTTGAACTGTTTCCGATTAGGTCTGTTGGCAAATAAGTGCTGGCCTTCCCAGCACATGGCTGTCCTGTCCTTAAAGCCACTCAAACAATGATGGCTCTTCCTGAGTCATACTGATGCCTCTGCTTCACAGAGGACAGAAACAATGAAAATGATTGTTTGCCATCACTTTGCTTTTTGATTTTCTTGCTTTTGTACTAAAGACATAACCCTCCAATGTGTATATCCCTTCAGACATTACCTTCATATCTATTTCTGTACCATGGATCTGTTGAGCTACTGTTTTGATGATTCCAATGACAATATCCTGGAGACCTTCTCTTTCTGAATAGTAATGCAGAATGAGTCCCTTCCCCTTCTCCGCATCAGTGCATCTAAAGGAAGGGGCTCGCATACCCGGGTAAATAGTAGCAAGGTGGTCATGCAAGGCATCCAGGTTCTGGAAGAAGAAATTTTAAACATGATTATAAGGCATTCACTTATTAGTTCTGAAGAAAGTAAGTACATATTCTGTCTCAACATGACCTGAACATCCCCTTTCTCCTACAGCCCACACTCCTGGTGCATTTGCCTTATTATTTGCAGAACTGCCATCATAGCAGGCGTTTCAGGTGGCTTACGATGTTCTTTCCATCTACTGTGGCAATATTTGGACAATGAATGGCATCAAAATTAGCACTATTAAAAATTACTCCAGATAGTAAGAATTCATGCTTGACTATGCTGTATTTTGAAAAAGGCTGATGACTAAAGACCTTGAGTGTGTTTCTCAATCCTGTACCTCATACATATTCATCCCTTCCAATTCTAGTCCCTATAATCTCTTAAAATGTGAGTTCAGGTGTCAAATACAAATAAACAGTACTGAATAAACATGAACCTTTTTCTTTATCCTCAATGAAACAGGCTAGTTCTCACATCATAACAGTCAACCCGTTTAAAGAGCCTGACAAAGCTTCGAATTTTAAAGATTTAAACGACTGAAAAAACAACCTCAAATGTTATCTTTTCTTTGAGAATAATTAAAAAAATGCACATAATACATAGAACATATCTCAACTGTTGTAAGAATGTTTTGGAAAAAGTTATTCAGGAAAGGGAAGAGGTCTTCTATTTTTCCAGCTGATGTCCTAGAAAACTTATGTATTTAGCTTTAAATCTTGACCAGACAAACAGCTATCTGGAGAGGAAAGCTAGACGTTAAATCGATAGGCATATCTAATAAGGACATTAAAGAAAACAAGGAGATTGAAATCACACTTAGAACACAACACTAGCTCCAATTTCAATTGTGACACAACTATCAAAGCTCCAGGTTGCTATTTAGTGTCTATTTAAAAGAGAAAGAGCAGCCTAGTTTGCTGGATCATGTTGCAACACATAATTATTTACCTGTATTGTAAAATTCATACAGCTCCTTTACATCTTAAGTCCAGAACATTACTGCATATTTTAAATGTTGTCCTCTTATCCCCCCAGGGAACTGCTACCACCAGGCTTCGCATATTGTTTTCTGCCAGCACAAAAGTGAGGTGAAAATATTTTCAGTGTGCTGTCTGGGCCATTCTCTACCTTTCATGAGCATCTGTCTAACATCAAATCTGTGGAAGCATACTTAACTGGGTTTCCTGTGAGCTGTGAAGTGCTCAAACAGCTGCCTCTTCTCCTGGTAGGTCTCCAGAGGAAATGAGACTCTTAGAAATAAATTCCATAGGATGCACTTAGCCTGGAATTTCCTCCAGTTTATTAGTCTGTTTCAAATTCCTGTTTTTGTTGCTACATCAACACCTCCAAATTAGAACTTGAAGAGGCAACAATCTGGGAGTGAATTCATTCCAGCTGTTAATGGGCACTCAATTGCAAAAAAGTATAATGCTTGAAGGCAAATTCTGTTAGATCTTTGCAGGGTTCAATCCAATGAAATTGGAAGGGACTGCTTGGATGAGAAAAGGAGAGAGCTGACTGGCTCTGCAGGACTGCCCCACAACCTCCTTAATCGGGTGCAGAACTGCTGTTTCAGTACACATGCCACAGAAACAGCTGGGATACACTGAACTTTTGGAAAAAACCTCTTAAGGATATACATGGGAAAAGACAATCTTCCAGTTACACAGTCATCAACACCTGAAGAATTTCAAAAGGAGTTTGTTATGGGAAATGGCCAATGTCAAGGACAGAAGTTTTAGAAGACGGTTGTCTAATTATTAACAATTAAATCTGGACAAGTGCTGCTAACAAAAGGCAGCAGCCTCATTCTGCAAGACCACTTTGATGCCCTATTACCCCATTACTGCTGACTGTGTCCAAGCAGTATCACAGGTGAGCCCCTGTGATACGCCCTTCAGTCTTCACTATCTAATCACCCGAGTGGGGGACTTGCCCAGGATGAATTGCAGCTGCTTTCCAGTTCCTAACATGTCTCTTCTTCCTGCACATACAGATCATGAGGTGATGAAAACGCTTCTTGTCTTCAGAACCTTACTCCAACACATAGTCAAGAAGCAGTGGAGATGTGCTTCCAGATCAAGGAGCTGAAATCACTCCCAGATCCTGCCATTTAGACATTGTCATTGTCACTCCCCCTCCTATTTTTCTGTTGTGTTTGATTCATTCTAAATTGATATTGCAGCTTGTGGACGAATAAATATGTCTATTCACATGCTGTGGGTCTGAGTGCTGTCAGGTACAGGTAATAATAGTTTGAATTCTCTCCCTGAATTCTTGGCTCCTAGACTGCTCAGTTGTATGCCAGAGCTTGTGCTGGGACCAGCAACATTAGTTCTAGAGCTTTGGAGAGCTTTGATCAACTCCATGGTGAAACACAAAGGGATATCTAAGCAAGAACAAGCAGTGATATATATCTACCTATCAACAGGCAGATCCTGGTCTGTTTAAAAGTAAGAGTTCTGATTAGCACCTGAAATACAAAGCTATGTTGTTCAGCTTTGTGTGGTACAGAGCATCTGGAAACTTTTCTAACAGAGGAATTAGTCCCCTGAAATTTATTGCACTGCAATTATGAAAAACTAAATAGCCACATAAATGATTCCCTAAATGAGAGAACTAACCACTACTCCAGTGTTTGACATTCTTTCAGTAGAAAGCTACTGAAAATAACATAAAAGCACACTGAGTTTCTTAGGAGGCACCTCTTTTCACACTGCTTATCTTTGGCACAGTGTCTTTCAATATGATTTGAAATATTTCTAGGCCTGTGTTTCTCATAGAAAATAGAAATATTAGATTTAGTTGTATGATCTTTTTCTTCCTTCATGAAGCTTGAAGTACCTGTGTTACATCTATAAATAAACTAAATTTTCTGAGATGTCAAGTGAAACAGAATAAACGTGAGATTTATTTTCATATGCTTTAAAAAGCTGCGGCCCTCAACTATTTCATATATTCTGGAGTCAGTACAAATTTCAAGAAGGACCTTTTGGAACTCTATTATGTATTTTAAGGATCTGACAAAAGTTCAGCACATTAAATGCAATCTGCTTCTATTTTTGTAATAGGCATATAAATTAGTTTCCTGACCTAATCTGACTGCTGGAAGATGTAAAAATAATAAATCACGGATAATGTTGATTTTCCACCACAATAAAAAGCTGAAAAGTACACTTCTGGCACAGCTACCAATACGTTAGTCCTGTTGAAATTTACAGAAGTATATAATAGCCAATGTCATCCGTTAACACTGAAATTCAAACAAAGCAGCTTAAAATAGTGTCATCAGAATATATATGTAAGCAGTTCACACTTTTGTAGATGTTTGGTGTGCACTACAAACGTGTCATTTCATCATCACACGTGGGAAGGAATAGAAGAAGTGTATTATATGGAAAAGGGCACAAGGGAAAGGAATAGGGAAGAATTGGCCTATCCACGTGTACCCAAAGTGATGAAGCAATGGGTCAGCTGCACCTCCTTTTTCCTCCTCCCCTAGTCCTGTTCAACCCTAACTGCAACTTCAGTACATGAGTCATCTTTAAAAACTACTTGTATCTGAAGGTTTGCTTAGAGGGCAGCCTGTGAATAAAGCTATGAAATATAAAGGATTCCACATCTCATGGACAGACCACTGTACACCGATCACACACGATGTGCATATGTTGGAGCACAACCTGTCTGTCTGCCCAGCAATTACATGGCATTTGTTCAAGAAGTCTGGGTTCACTACATATCAGATGCTCTGGAACAATCCAGGGTTTGGAGCAGGTAGTGAGACACAGAAGTAAACATTCTAGTAACCCAGCAACCTATGCACTCTGCTCTTTTCAGTGATTATTGGTGGATAGATTTTAATTGAACAAATGACAAAAGGCTGCTAAATTTCCACTGAAAAATCAATAGAGATATGAGATTCTGCTTTTGGGCAATCTCTCACAAAATCTTAATTCGTTCAGTGCTTTTAAACTCATTACAGCACACATTTCTCTCCAAGAGTGATACACATCACAAATCTTAAATCTAATGTGTTTTTTTGAAGTGAACAACTTTCACGTGACAGAAAGGGAAAGCCCATTTTTTCTACACTTAGATATGTCACTACATTTCTTCCAGGCTATTGAAAAAAATGTTTTCATTTTGTTTTGGTTTACAGTGTATTATTGCATTGTTCTGAAAGTAGTTCAGAAAGCACAAAAATTGACATAAACACTGTTGCTCTATCCCACTCTCAGTTCATGGATGAAGAATGAAGTTCATGGATGTCTTAGAGATAAGCTGTGTGAGCCCTAGCATAATGTACAGCTAGAAATAACCAGTATCTATAATTAGTCAAAGAGAGTTTAGAAGAAGAAATACCCTACAAATTTGAAGGCCACATTTTCTGTTAGTATAAGCAAGGCAAATCTTTTTAGTTAACACACACTGACAATTTGAACTTGTGTTTTTTTCATGTCTCTTGTATTCCATACTTTCATTACTTATGAAAACTCCTAGTCAAAACTTTTCTTTGGAATTTCAAATGAAAATTCAGATTTATGAATGCCTCTGCAACCCCATTATAACTGCCTTCTCATACCTTTTTCTGTGAAACTGAACAGTCAAAGATGCTATGGGAAAATTATTACTCTATCAGGTATCAGAATAATATATTAACTGGGAGGGAAGGAGAACAACAATGCCAAAACTGCTGAGAAGTGGTGAGCTTGATAGAATACAAAAGAAAGTTTTCAGATGCCTCTCCACAAATAACTAGGAGATTATACAGTACAAACGTATTTCCAAATCTCAATCCAATCTGTTGACTAAACCCTTCTGTCTGGTATCCAAAACACCTTGGCACAAAATTCTTACCTGCAAAAACTCTCTGACATTTGAGCCCAAGACACGTAGAATTGTATCATAACCAGATTCTTGGCAAAACACAAAAAACATCTTCCCAAACATTTGAAGAATTTCCCCAGCATTTAGATCTAGTTAAAACAGGAAAACATGATTCAGTCCAAACACTGCATTTCATGCACTTTCCTTACTACTTTAGTCTCATATGCATAAATATGAAAGACATGATTTAAACCCTATCCAGATCCAGCAGGTCAAGAATATGAGAAAAACAAGATTCAGTGTCCACATGGCAAATAATGAGTATTCATTACAGGAATTTCATTAGGATTTATCAATTACCATTATGACTTCGTTGCATTGTGCATTTCATGCATGTATAACATTTTAGATTTTGATACAGATAAGAAATCACTACTGGAAAATAAAGGAACTCAGTTGTTAGTAGCGCTCGCCTCACAGAAGTTACTTCTGGTTTACAATAGCGTGAAACCACATCAGCTGCTCCAATTCAACATTACTACAGTCATCATAGTCTTGTGGTTCTTGGCTAATTAGTGATTCAGAACAAATTCATACCCTACTTGGGTCTGCAAATAAAATAATGCTGATGGGCATAATTCTGCCTTCTAAATTCCAGACAGAGCTGCAAGGATTGAAAATGAATGGCAGATATGAGTTGTGCCCATGCTCCAGACACTGATGTAACCCAGCGTGCTTGTTCAGAGGAGAGATCAAGGATTCATTCCCTCGCTGCTCCTCCAGCAGTGGTTGAAACCTGGGTGTATCTACTGCAAGCTAGTTACAGTGGTATATTGTTACTTCGTGACCACTTGTAACACTGACCATGCTCTGTGGATGAGCTATATTACTGCAGTTTAAGGTGTACCTATGGGTTGGAATATTTTGGAAGTAATAAAAATCACTTGAAAGTATAAAAGGGATAAAAATATCTTAGATGAATAAAAGAAATAAAATCCTTTCTTTTGAGACTTAAAAAAATTCTCTCTTTGACCAATAGCCCATTTTCACTTCCTCTGTGCTAAATCCTCTTTCTCTCTGCTACACAGAGTTTTTGGCAGGGGGTTATCTCTTTTGTGATGAATGGGCAAAGAAGATAGGCAGATTACTTACTAAGGACCTTGCTTGCAGCAGCAACCAGATCATAAGTTTTGGAATCATCGTAAATTATTCTGACCAGAAACTGTCCTTCTTCATCCAGCTGTGCCTCCTTCCTAAAAAGAAAATAGAATAAAATCTTTTTAGTTGAGGGAGAAGCACCATATCAATAAATCAATTAAATATTGTTTGGTACTAATCTTTTAAGTAAAATACGTTTGTAGGTTTTACCTTCAAGAAGTTTCTTAAAACCAAAAATTAGAAATGAATCTGGTCCAGATCTCAGACTCATTAAGATACAATGCAAATATTTCAGACAATGTGTGTTCTGAAAACAATAATTAGCATTGAGAAAATAAACACAATTTTTCAATACAGAGCCTCACAAAGAAGTTGCTGAACTAATGAGCACAGAATCTGCATTTTAAAATAAGGGAATAGCCAATCCAGCCCAAGATGGGCTCTTTAAACACTTTTTAAGCACGTGTTTTCACTCCTTCTGATTTTGATTACATTTCATATACAAAAGGCATGGGAACTTCTTAACAACCATTTGCACATATCTTCAAAGAGGAATCTAAAATCCAGATGTAGGTACCTAATCAAAAACCTTTTATTCAGAATTCTGCACATGCCTAGGAAAAAAAACTCAAGGAAATAGTAACAAAACAGGATACATTTGCAGCTACTCATGCTCCGATTTATGTGTTTAGAATGTATTTTGGCTCAGCAAAACTAATATGATCATGGTATTGATAGTATCTTTGCAGGTGGAGGGTCACAGCTACCTCATTAAAAAGAAAATATAATCTTTCACCTATGGAAAGCTCTGTGCTGCAAAACACTTAAGAAAGACAAGACAGAGGTAGGAAAACCTAGAAAAGAATGACTGAATCACACCTTCTTATGTCACATCAGAAAAAATTAGTTGTTCTTCAGGAAAAGCCTTAGAATTAGAAAATATATTAAAAGAAGCAAACAATAAAATAGGGTTTTTTATATATATAAAAAAAATCTAAGCACATCGTATGCAAATCAAGACATTACTCAACTCCAGACTAGAAGAATTATTTTTCTAACATACAAATGAAAGAGAACCATGAGTAAACTACTATTTACTAGTACCATGGTAATAACAGGCTTTTACCAGAGAAGGATAGAAATGTTCTTTGAGATAAGACTGAAATATACAGTGCAAGAGCCAATGTATCTAACTGCTCTAAATTTCTAATGGCCAGAGGAATTACAAACCTATTAAAAGTAGAATCTAAATCTACTATGTAAAATCCTACATCCCCTTTTACATCAAAATACTTGTCTCCATCATCATAACATGTTCAACTATCAATCCAAATAGAAGTCTTTGACTGAAACTTAGATTCTAATTTTCTAGAGCTGGAATAATTTATTTTTAAAATTAAATATACAAAATAATACCTGCACAACAATTCAAGCATTTAGGGTTGTAGTGGAGTTATCCAGCCATACAAACATAAACATATTCTATGTTATTCAAAGGGGAGAGAGGTCTGAGCATTAAGTATTCTTGTTCATCTTAAAACTGCCCGATGGCAAATGGTAGTGCTGGTAAGGCCCAATTCCAATCTCACATGATGGTATTCTTTGGCCTAAACGAAATTACTCATCATTTAACTCTCCAATTAGTAATCATCATTCTTTGATAATCTGTTCACTTATCAATGGAAGTCTGGAATTGATTATTTTCTTTTTCTTCTTAATCTTCCTTTAATCTTGCTCATCACATTCTTACTGCTGACTAAAAACTATACTATGCTGGTTTTATATTTCAAAAATACATAATTCTGTATAAAAGAAACATCGTTCTCTACTCAATGGCATGAAAAACATTAATAAACTTAATGGGTTATGGGTTTGGTTTTTTTTTTAAACCCCTTGGGAACTTCCCAAAAGAAATAAAAGAATGGACATCATCAAGCAGGACAAAACTGGCTGCAAGAGTGTTCTCAGAGATACAAAATGATAAAGTACAGTATTATCTTTTTTTAAATAATTAATGGCAATAGTTTTTTTAATTACTTGAAGAAACAGTATATTTATAAAGAAGCAAACAAATTTTATGTGTACACCAAAATACTCGTATTTTCAAACTCCAAAAATACTAATTCTGGTCCTCTTCCCCAGCCATTCTCTGAAAACTCCAGATCAGCCTGCATTATATCAAGTCTCACTGACTCCTGAAAACAGCTCCCATGCCACATATTCCTTCTTTTCCTAAGTAGGAGGAGAGCTGCAGTTATTAGTGGGAAACATCTTGAAGCATACGAGTTCAGACAAGGACAAGAAGATAAGAGTTACATTTTCTAAGAACTGAACTGAAATTAATATGAGAAAAGAAGACCATCTTGATTCTTTGATTCTCATTGCATTATATGTAACTGGAACTCAGATACGGTTTGGAGGGAAGTTTGCAAAGGGTGCACAAACTTTCCCACATCTCTCATACACACTGTGCTTTCTTTTAGTCTCTCTGGTGTCAGCCAAACCACAAAGGATAACACACACATCTGGAAAAGCAATGAACATCCTCAAAAATATTGCATACTTGCACAGTTTTTGTGTGAGAATTTTCTCTAGTAAAAATTGACCCAGTTGGATGATGATGGTATCTCTTTCAAGATGACTTACATTTCTTTCCAATTACATTGACTGGAACTTTTCCTGTTTCCTTCTCTGTGCCAAGCCATGCTTCCTTTTTTCTTACTTTAATTGTCTTTAGTTTACTTTGTCAAAGTTTTTCTTCAATGCTTGCAGTTTCTCTGAGCTGCCACTTTTTAAAATCACCACTGGTTATTTCAATGCCTACTCCATTTAGATTATTTTAGCTATTTTGCTTTTCTCCATTTTTTTCCAAATGCTTTGGACCACTCAGCAGCCATCTTCTCTGTAGCCTTAATAATGTATTTCCCATTAAATTAACTTTATTGATAAAGTTAAACAAAAAATAATTCCATTAGTAACCACATCTGCATTCCTTGGATATAATTTTCTGGGGTGAAACTCACTGCTCTCAGGCTACACTTTCCCTCAGTATTAGCAGTCTGCTGGGGCTTCCAGCAGCACAGGAAAAGGAGCCAGTGCTTGTACTGCAGGCTAATATTCCAAATCAAAAAAAAAAAAACCACCCCACAATGTTCTTCCTTTTAATTATTTTCATTTTACAAAGAAAAAGAAAAACAATTTTAAAAACCACAAACAAAACAAAACAAAAAAACACCCCAAACATGTAATCCAACAAAAGCCAACCTCATTTGGGGAAATTTTTCTAGAAAATCTGTCAAATTAAGTATTTACATCTGCAGAAGATTACACTCTGCATTCAAACCCACATGGGCAAAAATCTCTTTGCTTTTCCTACATATATGGCAAATCCCACGACAATGTCTGATCTAAACCTCTGCCAAAATATAAACTTCCTTTTTAAAGCCCATGACTGAAAACCATTACATTCCAGAACTTTTTTCATTTCCAGGACAATTCCTTCTCCATACCTCTATGCCCTGTTGTGCCTGTACATCCCAATCATTTAGCTAGATGCTGAGCTGAAATATAATTCAGTTAGATATTTGTTTTTCTGGGTTATTTTTCTGCTGGATGGATTTCCCTGTCTGTTTCATCACCTGGTCACAGAAGTTGCTGTGCATAGAAAGCAATGAGTAGCTAGACAGAGTAGCCAAGGACAGGATAGGAGGTTCACTGAAGCTAGCTAAAGGCTTTCCCGTGCCTCCAGTGAGTTGGGTCTGCAGCTTCTGAAGCCCTTCTGCCTCCCTCAGTAATCTGACACCAGCGAGAACTTCTGAAAATCTTTCTCTCTGAAACATTTGATTAGCCTTAAGAATACACGTGATGACGAAACGCTGCTCTAAGCTTATCCAAAATGATCAATGCAATGTGAAAATACTACTTTCACAGAGGTACTTGTCCTTCAGCAAGTCTACAAAACTGCAGGTCCTCTAATAAACTTGTTTCAGAGAGCACAGCATCACAGCCATCAGCACCAGAGTGGCTGACCATGATGTGAACACCAGCAGGTAAGGAAACAGGGCAGAGTCACTGAAATGTTCATCCAGGTGAATGGACAATTCCTAAACTATTTCCTTGTGGCTATAGTTTTCTCACCTAACTACTTGACCCCTACCTGAACTATCAAACCTGCCTGCATTTACACTAAGGAGCTGGTTTGACAGCAAGGGTGATATGATAAGGGTGTGAAAACTGTTATTAACTAATTTTAAAGGGTCAGCTTTGTGGAGCTGCTGTGGTTGGCTGTTCGTCAGCGGTAATTCCTCCAGTGTGACGTAGCTGGTTTTAACTCCATAATCTACAAGTACCACGTTTGAAAACAAACCTGTCTGTGTGGAACAATGAGGTACGGCTACAAAACTGAGTATGCGAACTTTAAACGACCAGAAAGCTGCAACTGTTCTCATCTGAACAGCTTCCCTCTCCTGGATGACAGATGGTTCAGGAGCTGGGATTAGAACTGCGGTATACCATGGCATGTTTAGATGCAAAGAATTTACATTTGGCTGAACATATTTCATAGAGAATGTCATAATTCATAGCATTATGAAAAACTGTGCCATTACCCTTGAAAAGTTTTGATGTAATCTTTATTCCTGCTTTTTGACAGATAAAATTATTGGACTACCCAAGCACAGCTCTAATGTTTTCTGCAGACTAGGGTGTTTGATCACAAAGGCATTAACAGCAATAACATGTTGATTGCTTTCTTAAGGGCTTAACTGGAAATGAGCCAAAAGCAACAAACTCTGGCAAATTCCCAAGCCCTTGTTAATTCTTTAGTGAAGTAGCAACACTACAGTAGCAAACTCTTAACGTTCATATGGCCTTTCTTTCAAAATAACTCCTAACTCAAACAGAACAGAATTTACAATGAATGTGCCTCATGTACATTTCTAGAGACAAAAGAAGTGTGTGCTTTTCTCTCACTAAGTTTATGTTCAAAACTTTTAAAAAAATACTGGATTTTAATGCTCTTGCCCAAACAGACTCCTGTTGTCAGGACATGGGATGTGATATTTCATGGTTCAAAACTTACATCCTATGT